TGTTGCAGAAATGGCTGAGTTCCAGCAGCATCTTGCACAGTTTAATATAGCCCTATTTCCCCATTTCGATGTATTTGTGGTTAGATAAATCCTCAGAAAATTTACAGCTGCTACACACTAGTTTATTATACTCCTTGCCTGTGCAGGCGATATAAGTGCAACAAAAATTTGATGTCTGCTCAGAGCATAGATTTTACTGATACTGCTTTACCGGTGTGGAAACATTTTTCCGCTAAAAGTGGCATCTGCAGTTTCTGCCAAGTATTTGCATTTGAGCATTAGACAGGGCTTGTAAACTTGCTTGCCACAGCCAAACATAGTGCAAATTCATTTGAGCTGACAAAGTCCTCACAAAAAATCAGGTGGCTGGAGTTTTAGATGAAACACAGAGCTATCATTTTCATTTATGAGTGCAAGCTAGAAAATATTTTTCCAGTCTTTAAAGTTAGTGTACGCTAACGTATAAACCACAGCCATGATGTTGCTGCTGATTTTTTTTTCCTGCTGGCTTTGCTAGAGCTTCGAGCATAGGGGTCCATCTACTCTGAGCAGCTTGCAGGACCGGGACTCGACGTATACATATCACTGCTGGAAAACAGGCCCTTCTGAAGGGGAAGGCAGCAAGCAACCGGCATACAACAGACTGAACAAAGGACAAAACTCTTGCCAAAACCACTGTGAGTAGAACGCATCTATGTGTAAGAAAAGGATCATGCGATATTTCATGTTCAAAACAGCAGCTCAACGCTTGGTGTGAAATTCTCATCTCTGCTCTAGCTGCTTTGCGCCGGATGAAGAGGCTGGAGCGGACTGAATCAAGGCAGAGGTGCGTATTGCAACAGACAACGACTATAAAGGTGCCCTCTGAAGACCTGTGCCAGAAATTAGGGAACCAAAGCTTCATCTCTCCCAACAGCACTGCAAGCCATAGATGATACGGACCTTTCCGGGCTGTAGCTCAGAGTTAGGACAGTACCAAGGTATGAGTTACTGGAGAGACACAGGAGAATATTCCTCATGGGTTCTAAGGGTTCATCCGAAAAGCTCCTGTAAATGGCACAAAACTTAAATGTATTAAAAAGTGAAGTGGTTAAATATCTTAATTTCTAAAGTCTAAAAAACATGACCGAAGCCACCAAAGCTCTGCTATAACACGCCTTCTCACTATCTTCTGTTCCTTCTTCTTAAGTTCCAATTTCTAATTGCCACATTCTTGCAAGTCTCCCCCAGACAGCAGTTTTCTTCTTAAGTTTCTTATTTCCCTCTCTCAGACCTCCTCTCGTTTCTATTCCTTATGTGCCACAGTTTTGTTCCTAATGCACATATTTTGTACTCCAAGCAATAAAACTTCTTGAACTAACGCAGTATGTTTTCACAAGTGCAGGTGTGATCCATAAATTAATTTGTCCAAAACATTCTGGATAGTCATTGGACAGAATGCGAAGGGAAAAACCCCACGGTACAAACCTGTAGGTGACTCTTTCTAGCCTCCCTCCACTATTCAGAAAATAGTTCTGTCTCCTCCCAATTTCCACATCCATAAAATAGGTTGCACTGCATACATACTAATTTCATACGTGTTAGAAAAGGATCATTAAAAAACCCCACCACCCTTGTGTTTACCAAACAAGTGTTTTTGCTTTAGTCTGTTCCCGCCTTAAATGAAGTATTTCCTATTCACCTTAGTAATTAGAGCAGAAGGATGTAGTGAATGAAGTGCCTCATTACCAAGTTTGTATCCACGGTCTCCGCAGAATGGCTACCATGCCGGCTATTTTTCATAGCTGTCTGCTTTTGCTTGCAATGGGCCATTGTTAACCCTAAATGATCCTGACATTCAATTCTCCATCAGACAATCGGGTCCAGCCGGCAGATTTAGTTCACTAGTCAACAGAGACTTTCAGTTGTCATGTTCCTCTGTGTTCTCATTAGCCCTTGTTTGACTGTGATCCATCCCCTACTGCCTTCTGAATTAAGTGATGCTACAAATACACTTATTGTGTTCTACGATGTCTGTTCCTCAAATTATTTTAAGGAAGAAACTAAATGCAATCTGATGGCTATTGGGAAACACAGGAAAAATGTGCCATCCATTCTTTTCTATTTCATCAATTTATGCATTGTTCTCGATGTCTCTGCCATATCATAAAAATGTCATAGGAACTGTATGTTGTAACCACACACACAAAACCTAAAAACACCAGAACAATGAAAGACCTACTATGCTGTTATCACCAGGCAGTTATAATATCTAATATTTACCCTTTTTTTAAACAAGGTTTTATCTGCTTTGTTCCAGCAATGAACTTGTATCACCCTCTAAAAACTCTCCAAATAGACTTTTATAACTCTTGTATTTTAAGTCATGCCTCGGGGAGCAATTTTGCAGGGCACTCATGTTTTAAGATACTTAATGTAGTTCAACTAAAAAAAAAAAAGACAGAAAATTTTCAGTAGGCAATCAGAATCCTTCTGGAATTCTTTTCTTCCACTGAAATGTAAGTTCTTTAAATATTTGGACAATTTTCAGCAAATGTACACAATATTAATTTTAAAGTGATTTTAAAAATATGTAGGTTGCATTAACACAGAAACAAGCACCGTTATATAAAGTTTAATTTAAAAAATTACTTTTTTAAACCATTACCCTAATTCAAACTGTTTAAAAAGTTTTATCCTTTCTTGTAAGTTTAAAATCCCAACAGCAATGTCAGAAGAAGAAAGAATCTACTAACAATGAAGAGAAAAGCAGTTTTTCTTGAAATGAATGTATCAGCCGTATTTCTGAACAAAAGATAAAAACTGTCTTTGCCATTACGCCATGTTAATAATTTGTTAAGAGATTTTAGTCTGAAGGTTCTAATTTTAATACTGAAGAATCACTTAGACGTTTTTGTTTTTAATTTCAGATCTTTTTGCTCATTTTCTGTTAAATGAATGCAGAAAACTCTAGTACCACAGTGACACGGTATAAAGCAACAGAAGTCTCTAACCAACCATGTGGTAGGGAGGACAAAAAATATAAAAACAAAACAAAAGCTATTGCAATTACAAGAAAACATTATGAAAAGTTTATTTTCAACTCCCTGCATTTTCATGTTTGGCTCTTATCTGATTCCTTCTGCTTAATTGTTATTTGGAACTGTGCCTTGGAAGACACTACTGCTGCCTCTCCTCTCAATTTGGAAAGTGTGGCAAAGCAGCTCTATTCAGCTTCAGAGCAGTGAACATAATTGGAGCCCTAGTTCGCAAGCATGAAAGGAGGTGCTGTGCCTTTGATTAGAACTACCATCTCTCTGTGGTGTTTATCTGAAGTGTTATTTCTGTCTTCAGTGTCCACAATGCCAAATTAACATTTTACAATGCTTTCCAATGAGCTCCCAGATCTTGGCTACTGCTCAGCTCTCCCTGACGTGGAGCCTGATGTCATGCTCTGCCCTTATTTTAAAGGTGATCCAGGACATTTTAAGAAACCTAAGATGTTGAGATTTTTCTCTTTCATAAAATCTTTACATCCCATGTCACACAGAAGGATGGGCTGGAATATCTTACAAAAGCAGAGAGATAAAAGGCTAGGAGCCTTGCTAGAATCAGGCAGTCCCAGGACTAAGATAATTTTACACCACCTCTGACTGGGGAAAGAGACATTAATAAACTTCCAGTACACATACGCAAGTCCCACTTAGGGGAGAACTCCATACACATGCTCTAGGCAAACCAAAGCTAGGACTGTTAGCAAGGAACAATTACCAGTGTGGCCAAAAAAGAGTATTTGTTGCCATGCTTTACTCAGAAGAAACAAGTTTACAGATTTTTCTGGCTTTAAAACATGTGCAGGGAAGATATTACAATATACAGCAACTAGTCCTCTGCATCTGGGTGCATTTCACACATCAGTGCCCAACATTGTTATTCTCACTTCTTTTTTTAATGGAATCAAGTGCCCTGTCTACTAAATAAGGGCTTTCTAATTTTATGTTATTTATTGCTTCAGAGGGGGAGGAGGAAGAATTTCCTAGCAGAGTAAAAATAAACTGGACATCATCAGCCAGAAAAAATACCAACGCTAACTGATAGAAAGTGTTTCCTTTAATATAAAATATAAATTATTTAGCACTGTAGATAATTAGTGAGGTCATTAGTAAAAGTTCACAACATAATACTCAAGTAAAAAAATAGATTAATGACACTTACAAGTGAATAAGGACTACAAGTAAAACAAACAGCACAGTTGGATATGAAATATTTCATTGAGACAAAAGAAAGTATATTTGGCAAGACTGCTGCCGAAGCAGCCAGGAACTCTGACAAAACTGCAATGCACCTTTATTATGTGCAGAAAACCTCATTTGAAAAATATAACTGCCTGGAATGAAGACAGTGTAGTTGCATAGGTAGTTACTCAACAATTTGCTTCAGAGCTGTGAAATGCAGCCCAAGTGAATATTTCATGTCAGGAAAATATTTTTAAAAAGCTTATGTTTTCAGGTACACTGTAATGTCAGCTTGCCTTTGGAATTTTACTGTTCTGAACACTCCTCTATTTTACTTACAACACATTTTAAAATGCTAATTTAATAACATATGTAGTGGTTGGGCTTGTTTTGCTCTAGATCACACTTTTTCATTTGATTCTCTGCTCCAAATGGATTGATCTACAGTGTATAGAAATGCCTGTTCAGCCTAAATTAAGGTGTAATCAGATATTAAATTGGTTAACATTGTATTTGTCAGTGGGGTTCTCATGAAATATGAAAGTCGGTTTCAGATTTTACCAGTCCAGTGAGGAGCTGAACATTCAAGTTCTGTTAATTTCATGGAACTCAGGGCAAAAGTCTTCCAGAACAGGTTTACACCACTGGTAAGTCACAGCTAGCGCCATTTTGCATATTTGAATATTTTAACTTCTTTGTTTCTTGTTAATCCTAGAAGTGAGATCGTAGTTGCAGCCTTCAACATATATACTGAATATCACACCAGTATTTAGAATTAAATTATGACTATACGTCATAGGATTCAGGCTCAAAGGCAATATTTGTCTTTCCATTCGTGCTTACGTTTGAGCCTCTTGCTGCCTTTTTCTTCTTCTTCAATTCCACCCCATGGGCTGTAGGTTCATTTTCAACACCATTAGCTGTAACTGATGATACAGGAGTATCGAGACCCATTAAGTTGTGCTGATTTTCTATCTCGTTCTTCTGTACCCTTTTCTTCTTTTTCTTTGCACCTCTAGAGGAAAGTGGATATAAAAAGAGTAAAAGAAACACAAAGTTAGCCCAAATTTAGAGCTTTTTCCATCCACAGCTGAAGTGTTAGAGCAATTGTGTGCCTGTCCCCCTTGAGTACAATGCTGAAACAGCTATAAAAACTACCATTCCACAGCAGAACAAAGACAGAAAAAACATGAAGACAAAATGAGACCACTCCACTAGCCTATTTTTCAACATATCATAGCATTGCTTTGAAAAGAACTGCTCATGATCTTAAAAATCAGCTAGTCTTGATCAATAGTCAACAGATGTGATTAGAAAATACAAATTACCAGTCGTCTCCTCTCATAAAAGCCATTGCACTTTTTCTTTTTGTTTCCTAAGCTCAAACACCAAAATACTTGCAATTAAAGAGATTCCTGGTTTATTTCTTCAACAAGAATAAGACAGGCAGGCAAAGTGCATAAGATTAGTTTTTCTATTTTAGTTTACCTGAACTATGACAGATTTATAGAATCTGAAATCACTTTAATGTCTATTTGTGCCTATCAGACTTCATACAATGCCAAAAGCATCAGTCAAGCTTCTGTATCTTTCCCAAGTAGTGCCTTTAACAAGGGAATTAGACTGGTCTTGCAGATGATGCCAGGAATTATGCAGATGTTGCACCACTTCTACCATTAATTCCCACTCCTGACAGAAGTTGTAACTTTATTTAACTATAAATATGTAGTAACACTTCGACTGTAACCTTTCAAGGGCAGGTATTGTCTTTGTTCAAAATTTGTATTGTGCCTAGCGCAAAGAGGTCTTGGTTTGTGACCGGAACTGTTACGTTGAAGGCTGCTGAAACACATAAGCGAGTGGATGAATCAAGACTAAAGAATGTAATGAGATGTGTGCAGTTTCCCCAAAAAGGGTGCTGCAAGAGCATTACTGTTGGTGATGCTGTCCTAAGGTAATCATATTTTATAGAGGAAAACATTTACACATCAGCCTTGTTAATGGACTGATGACTATCTGCCTATAGTTTGAATTTTTTCTAAGTTAAATTATGTATTCATGAATACATGAATTGCTGCAGCTCTTATAGTAGAACAGCCTGAAGGAAAACATTCTGGAGTTTAAGACCCTCTCTGTTAGGATTCCCAGAACAATTTGAGAAGTACTGCTCCATGAGGAAACCAGGGTACAAAGTCATAATTAATCAGGAATATAAGTACCAGTCTGCCAAACTGTTTTCTGCTGGGTCTGATGCGTAATCACTTGTAAATTTATGCAGAGAGCACTACCTAGTGTAGCTCAACAAAACTGTACAATGGGAACGTATCTTAGGAGACAATGTCTGTACTGACAAATAGTATCTAATTATTAATATTTGAAGGGTGAGGCTACTATGCAGATTTTCAGTATAAAGCTACTCAAATTTTGAGACGTAGCTTTCATCCTTTTATTTGAACATCAGAAGTGACGATGTATCAAATCTTTGAGATACTTAGATAAAAACTTTACTTCACTTAGCATCTATTACGTTGACATTTCTCTGTTTCTTCTAGAGTCTGCAGAAGATAGGTTAACTGCTTGGCTAAGATAAAAATCTACTACCACCTTGAATAAAATTTGTTTTCCTATTGCAAAACCATATTTTTCCATCCAGAAATTCTGAAAGACAGACATGTCATAAGGGCTTGCCATTCAGTTTCTTTTAGAGCAGGCATTGTGGCCATAATGAATACTGTTCTAATAGGCAAACCAGCAAACATTCATTTGGAGGCTCAAAGAAAGGTATAGCAAGTTGTGCAGGTGCTAACAGTTTCACTTCTCCATACTGGAAGTGCACACTTGGCAATCACATCTCACTTGATTCTTACAAAGTTTATTTACTGCATAATTCCTATTATATACTAGCATGTGACATGGATATTAAGTGTATTTTCACAGAAAACAGGAAGATAACAATGTTTTAGGTGGAGCAACTATTTAAGTACAGATTGGACTGGACTTCAGGTCATGTTGATACTGCTTTTAGATGCTAAAATAGAAAACTTTTCCAGTTAAGATAGCAACACTTGCCTGCGTGTCATTTTTTAAGGTTATTTCAAGACACATCAACTGCAGTGAACAAGAAAACTACAGTTCTGTCACAGTCCCTGCAGGTGATGGTTTCAGGTACAAAGAAGTGAGAGTTTTCATGAAAAATATGCAGCCATGTTTCTGAGATGTTTTACTATCTAATCTGTACTATATAGATAGCCTATAAAGAGAAATATGGAACAGTCTTTCAAACTGCTGGCATCAGAGATGCCAGATCCTTCTCTCTTCTAGCTCTCAAAGTAAGGCAAAAACTTGTAGTCTTTTCTGAAAAAAACTTGATATGTGCAGTCACTGTTATAACTACAAAGACAAGCGAATCACATTTCATTATGTTCTAGTTCATGGAAGAACTTGCAAAGTACATACTTTCAGATTCAAGCTTTACATCAGGAATAGACATTACTCAGATTGGCATTCTGATCTTAGAACATGCAGAGCAAACTGCCCTCTCCGCATCAGGCAAAACACAAGCACTGGGGACAAATGCAGCAAAAACGTAATAAACCCTAGAATGTCCTGTACCTGGAAGGAAAATACAGCACTGTGTAGTACTGACATGTCTACCTTCCTCCCTTTCAAATTAGTTCTCCCCTGACAAGGTATAGCACCAAATGCTACTTCATGGCATCTTTCACTAATGATCAGGTATAAATGGCTCAGTACCCTGAAAGCTTGTGAATGAGGATCTGCAACAGTGCTCCTTGCCCAGATGGGACAGCAATGGCATGAAGCATGACTTCAGACTGGCATCTCCATGATGTGCCTGCTCTCTATAGTTCAGGAGGATAGAGTACGTTCCAGTGAGTCAGGCACGTAGGTGTCTTCTCTCACCTTTTTGAAATATAACTGAAGCAGTTTTGGGGCTCTGTTTCTTCAGCCTGACACTTCAGTGCTATCTCTTCTCAGGACAGCCTTAGTTTCCATTAAAATGAGTTTTTCACGTTTGATATGACCCAAAATTCTTGAATTTGATTAAATCATTTGTGATTCCACATTTTAATTCTGTGGTCCCACATTCTTCAGTGGATGCCCTGGAAAGGTCACCTCAAAATAATTGTTTCCTGAAGTTCTACTAATGGAGTTGAGTCATACCAAATTTTTGATACTGGCTTCTAACAGACTGTATCAACCGTTACAGTAACTGTGCTTTTAAGGCATTTCCTTCCTTAATGTACATCCTATCAGAATAGTTATGCCCAAAATTCAATATCAAATTCTGTCAAGGTGTAGTTATACAGCTCATTCCTCATCATACATGAGGGCTAAACTTTCCACTCGCAATTTATTTTCAAATCTAGATACAGCTGGAGATAGAAAACTAAGATTTAAAGGTAAGTTAAAATTAGATATGTATCTGCATCTACACCATATATGCACAGATTATTTATATGGGGAGGGGACCAGGCTGGAAAACGATTAGTGAAATAACTTTGCTTAGATGACAGATACCTGTAATGCCAAACACAGGAAGTATATTCAGATGCATTTTTTGAAGTATAAATGGTTGCAATACCTAAAGATATGGTGGAAGCTCTTGTTCAAAATTTTGAGATCTTATCTACTTACAGCTTTCACACAACGAATACATACAATTTTTAAAAAATGCAATTGTCACAATCAAAGATGCTAGCTTGCATCTTCTCAGTATGTGACAACCTTATGCAACTTATATAAATTAATTTTTAGAAGGTGCAAAAATAGTTTGCAGTTTGTAGTAATAAAGCCTAATACATAACTAAGGGATGCCACAGGGCAATCCCATACCCCTGAGTTTTGATTCTCATGTACGTTATAGTCCTTGCTCTTTTCAGGGGAGAGAGCGTGTGCATGCATATGTGTGTGTGTACATACATATAACAAACTTATTTCCTTCACGTTTCAGGTACGAACCACTTTTTGAATGATTATCCTAAAGCTAACTTCTTGTTTTGCTTGCTAAAACAAAATATCCTGGTCGAACATTTCTCACAGTTTTCTAACAGCACTTGTAGAAATAACACTGCAAATTGTTTTAAGTATTTCTTGCTTACTGTATTGCAGGTGAGCCTCTATCTGTGTCATGCTCCAAGCTAAATTTTAGGTCTCCTGACTTACTGATGACTGGTGACATCTGTAAAAGAAAAAAAAAAAAAAAAAAAAGGGAAGGAAAAAAAAAAACAAAAAATGGGGCCAAACAATGAAACAA